ATCTGCTAGACCACTTTCTCATGTAAAACTTTGAGTTAGTTTTCTTGTTTTGAAAAGCAAAGTAAAACTTCCAAAATATCATTTTCGTTTTAATGAAAAGACTTCCCAAAACAAGGGTACTTTTTTAATGGTCTAAAATGAACATGCCACTACAATCAGGGTTCAACAACAAAAAACAAAACGATTTATTCAACAATTTCAACAATTAGAAATAAATTCAACAACTTACCAAAACATAGTTAATAAGCACATGCATGGCCAGGACTTGACACTAATGTTAATAAACAATATATCATAAATATCAATATTATTTCAAATAATGGAATCAGGAAAAAGAAACCTAATCCAAAAAATACACCAAACACAATATTCCAAAAATTCCTTTCAATAGTAATAACAATATCAAGTGATAAACACCAATAACTCACTAACTGTATTGTTCATTAACTATCTCGTGAATCTCTCTCTTAATGAAGCTTCCGGCAGAATATTTATTTGCTGAATAAGTCATAATGTGTGTGATCATTAATTTATGCAATCTTCTGCCAAATTAAGAGTATCTGTACATTACTGCTAGGGAAGCTGATGTCAGTTTCATCATACATACATATTTGCTCAAAATACAAATGATTAGGTAGAAAGTAAGTTAGCATTTTAATGCAAATAAAAATTCATAAATTAACTAAGTGATAGAAGGAAATAATAAATGAATGATAAACATAATAATAAAAAAAATATAATTTGCTATTTCACACTTTTGCTCAGGGCCATTCCACTTTGACTTTGATTTGCAATGTAGAGTTTGCATGACATCTAGGACACTCAGTACACTTAGAAGAAACAACAATAAATGATCAACTATTTTTGTGGGACTTTTATTGGTTTAGGTCTGATCGATTATAAGAACTTACAAGAGAAAGTGTGAGAAAGAGCTGGAAGCAGCAGTGACACCAAATGATACTTTTGTCTGAATTGAGCTATACAAAATGAACTTTGGGAATGAGAGTATCTGGATGAAGGAGAGGAGGGTATTTTTTAATATTCACTGCTCTTTCTCATTCATAGCTGATGTAGCATAATTTCAAAAATAAATATTTATTTACAGCTAAAAAGAAAGTAGGTAACTATCTCAGCTGAGCAGACACCAATTGAATTCATTGCTTCATGCCTCTAGCACTAGGTTTAATATTTAACTCAAAATTTGTGAGCGATAAAGTAAGGATCCAATGTCTGTGGTCATGAGGTATAAGCACTCAGTCCAGAATCTCTACTACCCTTGGTGTTCATCATGTTTTGTTTGGAGCTACTTTTTTTGTGGCAAATAATTACAAAAACAAGTTATTTTGAAAGCCACTTTAAATCAGGTTTTTCACTGTTAACGGTCAAACTTTGCAAAAATGTATATATTAAATTTCCCTCTTCACATTCATTCCATTAACAAAAAGAGTATTTGTTTCATTTTCTTTTAATCTTATTGCAAGACTTTGTGTTTAAAAGAGCAGAAAAAATAGTTTCTGCATAATTTGTGTTAATATAAATAATTTTGCAATAGATGAAAATTGCACATATTATTGTTTTCTAGTTTGATTTGTCAATTTGTTAAAGCCAAAAAATTTTGCTGTATGAAATACCATGTTTAATATCAAATATCTGTATTTAAGGCTATAATTTCTTAATAAGATTTACTTTTATGATATTTCTTCTTCTTTTTTTTTTTACTGAAATGCAAAAAGATATAATCTAATATCCTCTCAATGCAAATGATGGCTTGGTTATGTTCATACTTCTCAGCCCAGCATCCATCCAAATTTGATCACACTTTATTTACGTTGTACAACAAAAAATTGATTATATTTGTGTCATATGGTATTTTTTACAATGGTTGCAAGGCTTTTAACTGAAAAGCTGGACAGTTGGGTAAGGTATATTGCATTTTTCCTTGCAGAATGATGTTTATCTTGTTGTTACGTCTCTGATCGTTTGTTAATTTCCCATATAATTTCTTTCCGAGAGACTTCAGCGATACAAGTTCTTTCTTAATTGAAACTAGTTTATTCTTTCTCGTTACAAATTTTGTAATACACTTAATTTCTGCAGTCACTTTAACTTAAACACATGCTATAATTCACAACAATTCATGCACTTTACTTACGACTTGACTCAATTATCTGTCTTTATCTCTTCAATCTGCAATTATCTCATCACTTCATTTGCGGGCTTATATATACAAAAATAGAAGGTGCATAGAAAAGACTAGAATTGCCAGGAACAGACATAATCCTTTTAGAATCTCATGATGTGTTAATAGCATCACATGACTTCCGCTGTCGTAACACTGCCTCTTCCTTGGAATTGTTCATCCAGAACAATAGCCACTTACATTAAACCAATAGATAATTAACAATAACTTAATTAAATGGACAGAATTTACAAACACAAAATTAAAATTCAACAAAGTCTCTTAATTTTACGGGACATATCTTCTTCTGTATTGGTCTCAGTCTCGTTGGCTTCTGGTTCACGTGGGATTCATCTGCTCCATCAGGAAATGTCCTATTATCGGTAACAGTCACATCAGTGGTAGTAACTTCATTAAGGGCTTCACCATTTCCCTTCTCAAAACCGGATAGAGTTTCTTCTTTGACAGTGGCTTTTTCAGGTGACACGTCTTCAGCAGCATCATTTCTTCCTTTGTTAACTTCGTTCCAACTGAAATGTCCAGGACCATGATAATGCCAAAGCCTGTTGGTATGCACCACCTTTGGCTTACCTCGCCGACCACATTTTATTTGGAAAGTTATGTCTGAGAGACGATCCACTATGTCATATGGGCCTTCCCATGGAGATGACAACCTAGGAGACTTCCCTTTAGTCTTCCTAGGATTATACAACCACACCTGTCTCCTGGTACAAAGCTGACTTCAGTAGATCTCTTATCATAAGATAGCTTCATGGAATCAGCGGACGTTTTCAAGTTTGAATGCACTTGATGATGAATATCATCCATCCTTTCAGATGCCCCCCAGTGGCACAGCGGTATGTCTGCGGACATACAATGCTAGAATCCGGGTTTTGATATCCGTGGTGGGCAGAGCACAGATAGCTCATTGTGTAGCTTTGTGCTTAATTACAAAACAAACAAACAAACAAATCCTTTCAGATAACACTTTCACGAACTCTGACACATTTTCAAGCAACTCTTCGTAAGGTGGGCTTCCTGTTAACAGGTCCACTGGCAACCGAAGTTCGCAACCAAACATCAACTTTGCTGGAGTGTATCCAGTGGCTTCATGCTCTGCTGTTCTATAAGTCATCAACAGTGGAGGGAGTAAGACATCCCAGTCATCTTGGCGGCTATTACAAAACTTTTCCAATTCCTGTCCCAGTGTCTAATTGTACTTTTATACCATCCTCTCAGACTATGGGAGATGTGGCGTTGTCCTGGTCTTTCGTATGTCAAACAACTTGCAGCATTCATGGAACACAGCCGATTCAAACTTACGTCCTTGATCTGAATGCAGTTTGTATGGCATGCCAAACTCGAAGAAGAAATCACTAATAGCTGAAGATACAGTTATAACTTCCTGACTTGGTATTGCATATGCCTCAGGCCACTTGGTGAAATAATCCATTACTACACAAAAGTACCTGTTTCCAGAACAAGTTTTGGCGAAAGGACCAGCAATGTCAATAGCTACTTTTTCCATTGGTGCACCAAATTGATATAACTTTATTGTAGCACGTCCCTTATGCTTGGGTCCTCTTTTTGCACATGTCCTGCAGGTCCTGCACCATTCTTCCACATCTTGTCTCATACCTTTACAGTAAAATCTCTGTCGTAGGTGATTCA